CCACTATTGACCCTGACGATCGATGCAATAAAGAGTATAAGTACAAGATGCAACTTTTACAGATCTTAGTCGGTTTGATAACCGTGTGTGGCGAGCGAAGTTTTAAAAATCCTTCGAAAACTATTTTCTACCTATTCGAAATTAAAGGAATGTTTTCTTTTAGTATAATTATCTATCTAAAGTATTAAGAGTACTTTCCCTTCAGGTGGCATTGCAAAATTCTACCCTGTATAACAGACATGTATGTAATAGTTAAAGTATCTTTCACGGCGCGTTTTACGCCAACAGCGGTTGCGATAGTTTGCGGCTCCCGCTGTAGGTACTGGCGAGCGACGCCGCGACCCCGCAGTCGCGGCGGCTAGCGCCCGCGCGCTCTACAATCGCAATGGGAGGGCCGGTCTGGAACTCAACTGATTGTGAACATTTTGACGATTAATTTTTGTTTTGTTTGCATTCCACAATACATAGGTAGGCATAGGGTAGGCAGAGACTATGGAATACCAATTGCTACGATTTTTACATGCGTAAAGATTTCAGTTCAGAGTTTTCTTGTTCCCATCGTTTATTTTTTATGGGATATCACCTGATGATAAGCAATCGGCGTCGCCCATGGACACACGGAACACCAGAGGCGTTACAAGTGCGTTACCGGGCTTGTTGAGAAATGTGGGGGAATTCGGTGATTGGGGAGACTGGGGAGGAGGGGTAATTGGGACTCCGGTAACCTCACTCACACAACGCAAGCGTTGTTTCACTGTGGTTTTCTGCTCGGCCGTGGTATCACTCCGGTCGAGCCGGACCATTCGTGTCGAAGCATGGCTCTCCCACACTTAAATTATCTGTCAATACTCACCTACACTCATACAGGAAGACTTTTATACATATTGGTAATGCGTACATGAGGAAATCCTCTATACATACGTAATATGTATAGTATTATTATTTACTTTATAATATTAAGTAGGCATATAGGCGAACGTCCTTCAAAAAATACTGTAGTACTAATTTGCATTTAACGTAACATGTTTTTTTGCAATGTAATTTTTAATTTAGATAACAACAATATGTGGTGCATGTTTCCGGGTCGATATTATTTGTTTTTTAACAGACCTTTTTAGTGGCAAAGAGAGTAAACAAACGTGTGAGAATTAAGAGAAAAACAGAGAAGAGTAACGAGAGAAAAAATGAGAAATGAAGAAAAGTACGAGGTCTTTGCAAAACATAACGTTACGCCTGTTAATCTCCGAAGGGATAGTCAAAGGTTCACATAATAACAATTCAGATCTCTGATTGTAATCCCCCACAATCCTCAAATTCCCAATTCCCACGTCAAAACGGCTTAACCCGGCGGGAGTGTGGTGCGGAAAAATTACATAGAGTATGTGGTGGGGTGTAACATACCCCACGGAACAAAACGTCTTCTATCTGCGTATTTCTCCAAAATATTACAAAATTATTACTAAATATTATGAATGAGAATCCTTATAATAAAAAAATAAACAAATAAATACATATTTTTAATACTTTTATTACTTATTTAGTTGTTGAACAATCTGACAACATTTTGGTGACACAAATTTACTTGCGCTATTAAAATATTTATAAAATTAATCGAAGTAATTAAAACAAAATGAAAACTTCTAAATTAACAAAAAATAAGATCTTCTTTCAATTAAAATGAAAAAACACTTATAGAATCAAATGGAATATTTTATTAAGAGGCCTCGCCGTCAGCACAATTTTTGCAAGAAAATATTGCATGTTTGATTGATTGAGTGATTTTCTGCAGCTTGCACAGACATGTTTTGTCTTTCGATCTTTTTTCCGAGAACAATCCGCACATCGAGCATATCGTCTGGAACTGTTTTCTACTGCTGGGCGCAATGGTTCCCTCACCTGTGCAGAAATTCTCTGGCGAATGTTAGATGGAATATTTTTCTGTGTTTGCCGCAACTCTAAATGTTTATTCAACAAAGTCAATCCAGATTATTCTGACATATTAGCTGCTATCAATAGCAGCCATGTTCAAAATTCCATAATTGATCGTCATTGGCCAACGCGAGACACATTATAAGTAGCGCTCAGCTCGTCCACGACGTCTACTCCTGCTTTTGTGGAGTTGTAGAAAATAATCATTTTGGCCATCTTTAGATTACCGTAACTTACATGATCAGTCCCAGGAGACAGACAAGTTCTTTTGGCAGCAAGGAGAATATTGTCATCCTAATCCCACTCGCTGCTGATCACTTCAAGTTCATCACATACAGCTTGCGTGTCTGATTCAAGCTTATGCTCACTGCAATAATCAAATTCTTCGGTAGAACCTGATTCATGCTATGCATGATGAACATTCGGCTAAAACTTCATCAATAATGCTTCATATACGTCTTTCATCTGACTTCAAGGCCATTTTTATTCAAAAACTATAAAAAATTAAAATATACATAAATATAAAAACAATACGCGAACTATGTGGCGGGGTGTGAAATACCCCACAGACGTTTACGCACGTGTACTGCAATCACCAGCCGGTGTAACATTAAAATCACGCCACTATCCCCTTCCGCAACCTCTTACCTCCAGCTACACGAAGCCACGAAATCTAGTTATTACCAGTTAAAAAAATATACCTAGGTAAACTAGTGCTGGGGTATGCTACACCCCACCACACTCCCGCCGGGTTAAGAGATCGAGATGTAATTTGAACAGGGCGTCTGTAATGAGATATAGGCTACTTTTTATTTCACGGCAATGCTGGCGAAGCTGCTGGCAGAAACATTTATGTTATGAGTTGTATTAATTATCGGAAATCAAATAAATCAATGTGAACTTTACTCGATACTCGAAACACGACTCAAGATTTTGAGCAAACTTCTAATTGCAACTTGAAAAAAAAACGTAGTTAAATAATAACATAACATCACGCTTTTTATCCCCGAAGAGGTAGGCAGAGGTTTACATTATGCCACTGTACAATGTAACACCTATTTTTCACTATTTATGTTATGAGTCCCATGTAATAGGGGGTGGGCCTATTGCCATATACTGGGCACAATTCCGGACTCCGTGCTACTACTGAGAAGGTAATAAAAATCCAGTAATACTTTGCCCGACCCGGGAATCGAACCCGAGACCCCTTGCCCGGTCGCACTTGCGACCACTCGGCCAACGGGGCAATCTTTGTTAACTAACAAAGATTTATATTTTTAATTTATAATCATTAAGTATATCATATTTCATTTATTAATTCACAGTTTATTTTTAACTGGTGTACCGCGGCAATTCGATTTTGGTTTGTGTCGGACGCACGCGCGCCACTCTAGTGGAAACACGCCACCTCTCTATTCCTCTTCCCCCGCTTCCCCGCCACTGACCGCTCGACGCTTGCGAGAACGCGATAGAACAAGGAACAACGAGTCCCACGCCAGAGCCGTGACGCACGCGCTCAGTATTTGTACCGCGAAATATTTGAGTTTTATTCATCCCATCGTATTATTGTGCAACTTTGTTTATTTATTCCAATATAAAATACAGTTTACAGTAATTCGTGTGTCGAACTTTATTTCACGCCCTGAGAACCCACCACTAAGAACAATATCAAGTATATTAAACTGGATTAAAAATTAATGTACCGGAACAAATGAATTTACTGCCTATTTAAATAAATTATCAAAAGGAAATAAAAAAAGTAGATTGACGCATTCGAAACGTATGCTATGCTAAAAATAAAAATCCGACTACCTTGTCTTGTGTATTAAAATAATTAAGAGCTAATACGTGGCTTTTTATTCATTTTCTTATATTGTAAAGTAGGCAGAGACTCTGGAACGCCAATTGCTACAATTCCTACATACCTCTTTCGCTTTATCAACTGTCATCAATCTTTTCATGCAGCCAAAAACCACGACGACCTAGTGACATAAAAATTCCGAATATAATTTATATCTATATCTATATCTACTAATATTATAAAGAGGAAAGATTTGTACCTATTTTTGTATGTTTGTATGTTTGTATTGAATAGGCTCAAAAAGTACTGGGCCGATTTAAAAATTTCTTTCACCAATAGAATGCTACATTCTTCCAATTTGACATTGGCTACATTTCATTTTGAAAAAAGTTAGGGATCCTTGGTAAAATTTGAACAATGTAACCGAAGGTGTAGAAAAATGAGTCTTAAAATGTCTTTCGTCGAATGCGCTGCCGAAACTATTAGCGATAGAACAAAATAATGTACAACAATATTGAAGAACATCATAATGCCTACAAAAAACTCCGCGGTAGCATATGTCCAACTATTGTAGTTATGTCACTACAACAATCCAAATTAACAAAAATAAATAATTGTCTACCCCGTCCCGTTCGAAGCCGGGACGGACTGCTAGTTTAAAATAAATCATTTTTCTTCCCACTGTACGATTCGAATGAGTATTACAACAATTTTGAAATAATTCGACTAATCTTTAACATCCGGCTTCGCTTATGTTACGCCGGAATTAAAAATGTACCTACTTATTGAAATATGCAAGGTTGAAATAAATTATAGGTCGCTGCTTTGTATGGGCGATCAAGTTTTAATATATATTTTTAATGATAATTTTATTCGCTGGTGGGAATCAAATCCGGCGTTTGACGAATGATTGAATTATCGGGTGAGCTAGGCTATTCTTAGGATGTGGGTTCGTAACCTACCAACGGCAAGTACCCATGTGTCTTTTTCCGAGTTATATGAAGGAACCTACTTTTTAAGATTATTTAGACACCACTGACAAACGGTGAAGGAAAACATAGTTAGGAAACCTGGGCTTATAATTTCTAATTACAAGTTTGTAATCGCAAACCTGCATTGAGCAAGCGTGTTGTGGTGATTAATGCTCAAACCTTCTCCATGTGAGAAGAGGCTTTCATCCACAGTGGGCGTTTATAGGCTGTTGATGTGTACACAAAAAATAAAAATACACCAACAAAAACAGTTGCCATAAAGAAAAAAAATGGCTTACCTCTCTTCAACAGTCAAATTGGCGAGCTCAGGCACCCAGCACCAATGTTCTTCAGGCACGATAGTCATAAAAATTTGCGAAAAATACACAAAAGCGACGAAAAACGCAAACGGTATCATGAGTAGAAACAGTATCTTCTGATACAATCCGAATTCCCCAACATACGGCAAGAGATCATCGAAATCCGTATTCTTCTTCTTTTCTCCCTCGTTTGGGGGTAAATTTTTCGGTGTGGCAACATCTGTACTGTCATTCTCGTAAGCCTTGTTGACGAAACCCCCACTCAAATCTATGTTAGACAAATTATTTGATGTGTTTTGCGAATCATCTTCGGAGACGTATGCAGTTCTTTCTTGTGGCGCCATTTTTAAGAATTTTGCATAATCTTCCGTTCTGTTTTCAATTTTGATCTGTAACAATGAGAAATTCGTGGTTAGTTTTATTGTAAAATGAATTCAAGATGCAGTGTTTTGTTAATGGGACAAGCCCGCCACAACCTCCCAAAACCGCTGCAACTCCTGTAAGCCAGGATCCACAGTAGATACAACCATGCACACACCGGAAGTCCGGCGCATCCCAGGGACATGAATAACTGTCTTAGTTCCCTCAACGAAGTAAATCAGAAAATATTATAAGGGCAGAAGAAAAAAAAACGATAGTTTCCACTTCCCTCGGTGAATTACTGCAGGAGACAGAATGAATTAAGCCTAAAGGCACAGTTTCTTGCTCGTTCTTCTCCATAGGAATCTACATTGGAATGAGCAACTAGCTTCAGTTCTAAATTTTTTGATAATTGTTGTTGACGTTCAAAAGTGTTTTTTTTGTCTAATTGAAATAAATGATTTTGTCTTTTGACTTTGACTTTTGTTTTTTTTAAAAATTGTAAAAAAAAACATATTTTAGTATGTGTACCGTATGTATATTCATATGCATGTATGTAGTAAAAAGCAGTTATTTTAATAATACAAACATTTTTTTTAATTTTATTTATCTGTATAGATTATATTCCTATCTTTTTGTATTTTTTTTTTAAATATCGCTCCACACTAGGATTTTCTCCTGTGTCGTGGTTGCGTTTACAAACATACAAGTTCACATACACAATGACACCCAGACCCGAAACAACAATTTGTGGATCACACAAAGTGTTGTCCCGTGCGGGAATCGAACCCGCGACACGTTGCGCGGCAGCCAGTTGCCCAGCCACCGCGCCTACCTAATTCTAATTTCCATAATACAAACTTTTAAACACCTTTACCCAGCCTGACAATCGAACTTTAGACATTATTAGACTACTCGACCAACAACGCGGTCACTAGTAAAATAATGACGTCATTACAGTCGCGTGCGCATCACCGGAGCGTGAATGTACACCGTTTGTTTGATTGTTTAAGAATTTTCTTGTAATTTCGACTTTAATGTTAAGTGTACAAAGGTAGATTTACTTTGGTATTGAGTAATCGTCACATCTTAATATAAAGACTTCCAAACGATATAACAGTAGTCCAATGCTTACATTATTATACGTAACATAACATCACCACGCCTTTTATCCTCGAAGGGGTAGGCAGAGGTGCACATTATGCCACTATACAATGTAACACCCACTTTTCACTATTAGGTTAATAGTGAAAAGTGGGTGTTACATGTTATGAATCCCATGTGAGCCTATTGCCATATACCGGGCACGATTCTAGAGGTAAACTCCGTGCTACTACTGAGATTTTTTTTTAAAACCCCAGTAGTACGTTGCCCGACCCAGGAATCCCTTGCTTGCCCGGCAGTCGCACTGTTTGCGACAAGGCCAACGAGACAGTCTTAAAATAAAATAAAATAAATAAAAAATCGTTTATAAAATACAAAAACTTCCAAACAATGTGTCAGTAGCCCAATGTTTATATTATTATACATTTTTTTTATTCACCTGATGGTAAGCAATCGGCGTCGCCCATGGACACCTGGAACACCAGAGGCATAACAGGTGCGTTACAGGCCTTTTGGTGATTTGAAGTTTGAGGATCGTTGGGGATTCAGGGATTGGGGAGATTGGAGAAGGGGAGGGAATTTGGGCCTCCGGTAACCTCACTCACACGACAAAACACAACGCAAGCGTTGTTTCACGTCGGTTTTCTGCTCGGCCGTGGTATCACTCCGGTCGAGCCGGCCCATTCGTGCCGAAGCATGGCTCTCCCACACTTAAAATGTATGGATTTTTTAAAATATGACGAATTTACTTTACGGCGATTGTCCAATAACCCGTTCTAAATTACACCCCGATCCCTTCAGTCGTTTTGAAGTGATTAAGTAACAAAATATACACCCACTCATACAAACTTTCACATTTACAAATAGGATATGAAGTATAATTTTTCTTATTCAAAAAAGTCCAACTTAAAAATGTACTCAACCCGGTAATCGTACTTAAAACCTCGCACAGCGTAGTAATGTTACTTAACGTTCTAATGACCCTGAATGTACAGAATGCTGATTATATCATAGTTTCGAGTTAGGTAAGGTCATGGATGATGCTCAAAGACTAACAATTTACTGTGAGAGTGACGTGACTGATGGCTGAGCGACCGGTTACCGTGCAACGTGTATAGAATTCGATTCCCGCACGGAGCAACTCTTTGGAGGCAGTCCACAATAAATACTCTCTTCGAGAACGGATACAAAAACAGTTTTTTTATTTCTCATCATCCTGTGTTTGTTGACAACATAACATTACATAACATCACGCCTTTTATCCCCGAAGGGGTAGGCAGAGGTGCACATTACGGCACAATGCCACTGTACAATGTAACACCCACTTTTCACTATTTATGTTACGCGTCCCATGTAATAGGGGGTGAGCCTATTGCCATATACTGGGCACAATTCCAGACTCCGTGCTACTACTAAGATTTTTTGTAAAACTCCAGTAATACTTTGCCCGACCCGGGAATCGAACCCGAGACCCCTTGCCCAGCAGTCGCAATTGCGACCACGTGGCCTTTACACAACAAACACGTCTCAGTGTACGGGCAAACAGCTTTAAGACAAAAATTTGCTGAATCGCTTCAGCCGTTCTCGAATTTTACGTACGGCGCGTTGCGCGTGCGCCTCAAAGAGCCATCAGCCCACCACGAATGGGGCCCAATACGGCCGATGCCGATACGGAGCCGCGGAGAACCTAACGGGTTACCGGAGCTTCGGCTCGAATTGCAGGAATAGGAACGGGGTGGTATTTATTCAGTAAGAGTCTGACACTCCGTCCCGCCTCACCCAGACGGGAGAAGTAATTTGATGATTTTCCCCCGTTAACAAAAAAGTGTGTTGTGTGCATCTCTGACTCATTCGGGGATAAAAAGCGTTATGTTATGATTTGTTAATACAACAAAAGCTCGATAAAAACTATCTTCGAAAACACATTTATTGACAGTGGCAAACTCAAAACAGTGGTAATATGTAGTCTATGTATTGCATATATTTATATATTTATGTATTATATAGTAATTATATCATATTATATGTATGCATATTTGGGATATATATTTATTATATAATTCATTTTAAGCCCCTATACCCTTAGTTATGTCGCGGAGAACCTAACGGGTAACCGGGGCTCCGGCTCGACGTGCAGCAGAAGGAACGGGGTAGTTTTTAGTCAGTAAGACTCTGACACTCCCTCCCGCCTCACCCGGGCGAGAGCAGTCATTCAACGATTTTCCCCCCTTAAAAAAAAACCCTTAGTTATGTATTATCGAATATAACAATCATGTCTTCCCTCTTTAATATTTTATTACCTTAACTTCGTTATCTACTTCATACTTTCTTTTTACAATTATGCATCTACCGCTTTAACATTCTGCACCACCCAATGGTCGACTGTCAGATAATGCCTACGGCATGAAGTCCACCGATTTCACTGTATGTGCAATGAAGTCTAATAAATAAATAAAAATAAATATCTAAAATGTATCTCGTTCTCACGCCTTCAGTTGAATTGACCACGTACACGTAGTTATTGTAACAGTTGCACAAGAGAGGTCATTCACCCTGACCCAGGGACAAAATAACTTGTACATTTTTACAAAGCGTGGGAGAGCCGTACTTCAGCACGAATGAGCCGACTCGACCGGAGTGATACCACGGCCGAGCAGAAAACCAGAGACAGAAATAAATGTGTTTCGTCGTATGAGTGTGAGTCAGGGTACTGGAGACCTTATTACGCTGCCTTCCTCCCCAATCTCCCCAATCCCTGAATCCCCAACAATCCTTAAATTAAGGCCGAAAACTCACATGTAACGCCTTTAGTGTTCCGTGAGTCCATGGGTCCGATTGCTTACCATCAGGTGATCCGTCTGCTCGTTTACCGGCTTATGCCATAAAAAAAACTTTTTACTGATTAAGTTAGTTGTAAGTTTGGCTTGGTAGGTTCGATTCTTGGGTTGGGCAAAGAATTTTGGGTATTTTTTGATTTTGCTTAATAGTAGTATAGGGTCTGCCATTGTGGGTGTATGGGTATAGGCTTACCCCTTATTGCATGGCATAACTGCCTATCTCATGAAATGTGATTGTTTCTTTGTATAAAAAGGTGAAAACTAGTAATTATAATGACAGTTCAATTCTGTCTACTATAATATACCTAGTAGAAGCATAACATATTGTTTATTCAAGGTTCGAATCCCGGGCCAAACAAATGTTTTTTTCACCAGAATCAGGCAATTCCCCATCCACACAAACAAGAAGCCACCTAAAAATTTGACCTAACCACAAAAAATCCCCTAAAAAAAGTCAACCCACCCACCCATCCAAAAATTGACCTCGAAAATTTGCTTAACCTCTATAAACTGATCGATGCGCTAACAATAGATAAACCAGTCAAATCGCAAGGTCATGGGTATCACAGTGAATGACCAGTTACAACATGAACCTTGGTTTGTTACGTGTTTGGATGTAGCCAAGTAATCACTTCAACTGCTTAAACTGACCTAGCGTGGTTAAAAATGACTATTGTATTCGTAATATTTAATTTTACGATTAGTACTGAGTGAATCTAATTTGATTTGTGATCAAGGTTAAGTTCGGTTTGTGTTGAGGTCAATTTTAGGATATCATAATTTATATAACTACATAAATATTTACAACTTATAATTAACTACAACTAAACTATTAAATAAAACGAAAGTAAAAGAAAACAACAAAAATTATACCCTTAATTTAGGCGTCAAAGTATTCGTCCGCATCACTATCACAGGGGAAAGTTCCCAGAAGACTGGCAGCATTGCCACGTTGAATGGCAATGCTTATTTTCTGTCCGAAGAAAAAGCCAGCCCTCTGTTCACGCGTAGAGTCGATTAGCCTACGGGCGATGTCTTTAAACACAGAGTGTGCACTGGGATCCCATGGCCCAAGTGTTTCGACCCCA